GTCGCGCCGTGACTAGATAGAGTTTTCTAGATAACGTTATAGGAAAGCATGATTCACGCAAATTGTGCTCGTCAATTCGAAAACAACTAAATCGTTTTTTAATTGTCTATTGCGGGAAAGTGAGAATGGTTTTGAAGGCATTACATTTGTTGCCACCTTGCCGCATTTAATGTTACATGTTTGGAGCTTAAATATGTTATGGATCACCATCAGCAGCGCTGGTTTTCGCCAGTTTCTAGAACTGGACCACATTGCGGGGGGTTGATAGACTGAAACAAATAGAACCAAACGAACCGTCAAACACTGAACCAAATGAGCAAAGTAAATAAACATTAATGTTCGCAAAATTCACCAGAAAGGAGTATTGTTCTCAATAATGAAAAAAGTGTTTAGGGGAAACAGCCCTATACCAGCGTTAGAAACCTCCATACACAACACTAGGCTTCTAACGCTGCTAACGTACCGCAACAATAGGGCTGTTTCCCCTAATTATTTTCACGAAATTTGTTAGTGATAAAAGCAATTTCGAATCGGAACGTTTTATTTTGTTTTATGGTTATAGAAATGATTACGCTGTTAGACAGAAGTTATACTGTCATGGAGCGACTGTTATACTTATTTGATTGAACTTTGTACGGCTCATGGATTCTCAGCCTAAAGGTAAGGAATCGCTCAATAGTTTTTTTTTCCTGATATCATGACAGTCTTCAAAAATATTTGTGCTGAGTGTTTTCATAAGATCACCCAATTTGGCAGCAACTTTATTATTGGATGTGATGGTAAGTGATATATTGTCGCGGAATATTCTTTCCAAAGTAACAAAGAAAACGTAGACATACTCGTTGATATACAGTAATGCTTCGCCAGTATAATCATAGTATAGTAAACTTCGAGTATGATTTTAAGATACCACTGTTTGATATCCATGACGAAAAACAATCTTCACAAACGGTGTAGTTCATGGTAATGCTTCGTAGAATATATCCACCGATAGGATATTTTTTGTTACAAATTCAAAATAATTACATTTCATTTTAACCTATAGCTGCTCCAGTTACTACAGTAACTTACCAGCCTTAATTGTTATGATATATATCTAAGTGTTTTTACATTGTTCCTGCCTTGGCAATTCAGTATTTTAAACAGGTTTTTTTTAAACCTTCATGTCAGTATAACAATTGAAATCTTAAAACTAAAAACTAAAACTAAATCTTATCTAAGTATAAAGGGAATTAATCGTTGCAATTGCAAAAACTTTCAAATAGAAAGAATTTTATGAATTTAATGATGGCAACGCCACCACAGGGTCCATGAAGACGATCATTTCTATAAATAAAATAATTTGCGTCCCTCTTAACCTTATGGTCAGGTTTAAGGAACGTTTCAGTTATAACGGCAATATGCACGTTATGAACTCTCAAAAAGTTAAATAGCTCGTCTTCATTATCTTTAAGAGATCGAGCATTCCAATTTAAAATATTTAATGATTTAAAATCTATTACTGAATTTCAAAGTCATGATAATATTGTTCGCAAATTGTACTCCAGTTTGAATAACATCAAACATGGAATTCGATTTAAGCATATCAGTAATCATGTCAATTAATGATTTCTGGAAAAAAATTCCATTTTTGGAGCAGTAATGCTCCCTGAGTTAAAATTTTCAAAATTTCCGTTTCCTACCTGTCGCTTAGAACGAGATTGTAGGATCGCTTAGCGAATCTTACATTCCCAAAAATTGGATTTGTGGTTTTCACCACAATTTGAACATTTAAATTTCTTAGGATCTTCCTTCACAGGACAGTCGTCCTTTGCGTGAGAGGAATCACCACAATTCATGCATGTAGCAATTTTTAGTTCCGTGACCCCATCCCTGGCCCATACGGCACTGGGTGAGGTTTTGGAAATTTCCTTCAGTCTTCCTGAAGTGTTCCCACTTCACTCGGACATGGAGCATAAGGCTAGCTTTTTCTAACGCCTTAAGGTTGTTTAGTTCATTAGACTTGAAGTGAACTAAATAAAAATCATTAGAAATCCCGTTGCGCGAATCGCCATGACGGGATTTCATTTTCATTTTGCCAGTTCATCTTTGATCTGATCCAGGGATTCACCACTGGGCCGTCCTTTCATGACAACCTTGAACACACGTTCAGTTTTGGTGTCGTAAGTAAAAAAATATACTACTTCTCACTAAGATACTTGAGAAGACGTTTGAATCCGTCCAAGGTTTCAGCCAATACACGGCATTCATCCGACGTCCAATTTGTAGTGAAAACTTAACTTTCACGGAGTTAAAATCGGAAATCGGAAGTGGTTATCACAATAGGGGGAATCTTTTCCTTCTTGGAATTAAGCCGGGAAAGTTTTCTAGAATTTTTCTTGGATGATGGATCATTCTCATCATCCGTGAGCAAATCAAATTGATTGCTCAAATTAATTTCTTCATCATCATCATCTTTTGCGCTTTAGCGACATGGCGGCAGTAAATTTTTATCCTAATCGACTTCCAAGCAGATTACTATAAGAATCTGAAGGATCGAAGAGGAATTTTCCAAATCGATATCCAAGAAGGATTGCCTCGGGTAGGGTCCAAACAAGGATCGAAGAAGAATAAGTGTTGAAAAAGGTAGAAGTTTTACAGGTTGAGCACTGAAAAGTGCTGTTTAAATTTGTTGTAGCTTTAGGTAGTAGTAAAACTTTCTTCAGCAAAAAGTAAATAGATCCGCACGGCAATAGAGCACGATGCGGACTGATAGGATAAATTTTATGTCTTTCAGAGTTGTCAAAAAATGCATCGTCGAAAACATCCTCCGGGTATTCCACAGTGATCAGTTGGTCATCACTTATAACTTACTTTTGAAGATCGGTTACTAAAGCCGTCTCCTGGTATATGTATGCTGTAAAGTCCGTCAGTCATAGTCTATCATTGTATTCATACGATGTGTTTGGAATTTCTTGCATGAATTGGGAAACTGATAGCAGTTTAAAGTTATTCCTGAACTGCACAGCTGTTGGTCTTTTTGCTTAAACCTAAGCAAAGAAAATATATGTTCGGCACAATCTTGTGTGAAACTGGATGTGAAGATAAACTGTCTAATAGCGCAGTTCATTTTTATTCAGTTCCGGTCGAACGTTCAAATTTTCTCAACAGCATTGCGGCACTGTTTGAAAGTAATTTGAAGCCACTCAAAGAAACATGGTTGCCAGTGACATTGCCAAAAGATGTCTCAAAAACCGTGCTGCTGTTTTGACAGAAATTTTCTTTGCGTGTCTCTATCAACGTCTCTGGTCTGAACCATTTTTAGTTTGCACCGCGTGCAGATTAGCGGGGTTCAAATTAAAAAGTTTTCAGATTAAAAAAATACGGTAATATATATTTTTTGTAACTTAAATATTTGTTTTTTATTTAAATTAACTTTTCGAATACCAAACCTAAGCCACTCGTTTCTCTATATTTGTGGAACCATCGGTAATTTTAAACGGATTTATTAAATTTTTGTTGGAAATGATATTAGTTTTCCTACTCAATGGTTGTCACATTGTGAAAGGTTTTATGGGTAACTCAGTGCTTGGTTTATTATGTTTTTGTCGAATTGGTAGACCATTTGATCAAGTTGAAGTTGATTAATTTTCTCTTTCTTAATTTCCCTGAATGCTTATAAAAATATTTATTAGAATTAGGGTACTGCCAATCATTTGCTATAAACAAACGCTATTGGGAATTATGAAATCATTAGACGGTATAATAGTGTTTTGAACTTGTAAGTTCCTAGAAAAGCTGATAAAGTATGTGTTTGACATATAAAACCTGTCGATTTCACGTTCAGAGAGCCACAATCAGCGATCTTATATAATGGATGAATATTCACTCTTCACAAAAAAAAATCTGAATTCTACTGGTGTTGTAAATATCTATACATGCAAACATTCATTCACGTAACTTCACGTAGTAACTTGAATGAAATGGGACTTGCACATGTGGACGGTTACAAACAATATATGGAATATTTCATGACAAATCTCATAAATTTACACGATCTATAATGTGAACTTGTATGATATCTGACGCACGATTTATGTTCATCATAGCAACAGAAACTTACACTACTTTTTCGAGCTGTGTTTATGAAAACGAAAATCATATGTTTCATGTGTCAAACGCATGCTTTAAAACCTCTTCTTGTAACTTACATGTGCAAAATATCATCATAGTCTTATGGTTTCAGAAATCGGAATTTTTCTTTCTAGCAAAGATTGAATGGAATGCCCCATAGTCTACTTTTATCACTGGTATCTACTGGTATCTCTGTAATTTTGTAATTCACAAGACAGAATTTACGATGCTACGACAGGTAGTGCAACCATCAGGCTACTCAAAAATTGAGATAGTACTCTTTCCAACGATACAAAAACATTTGAAAACGGATAAATTGAATCCGTGATACATTATTTAGTAAAAAAAGCGTCATCTTCTTTTGCAGCGTGCTGCTCAAAGAGTTAAATTTAAATTAATGAACAAAAACTACTGTGACCCCACTTTGAAGATGGGGTCCTGAAAACAAAACAGAGAATACAGAAGATGATAGCAACATACAACAGTTAGGCAAAATAAAAACAATAATAAATTTCCCCTCTGGAACCGCAACCAGCAGGGATCTCCCCTCAGGAATCTCATTCAACTCTGTAAAATAAAAACTCTGTATCTTTTCTCCCTTAGGGATGCCCTTTCTGGGGAATCCGAAGATGACCCAGCCCAGGGCTGAAAGTCTGCTTAATAAAAATATTAAAAAAAAAATGTTGAACGGTATAATTTGCTAAATCACTTCTGAATAAGCTTGCATAATAGGTGCAATACTGATTTTAATTTAATATTTAAAACAAACTCGGGCAAAGTACTTCTTTGGAACTTCTGCAACATTGTCATAATGTTTTAATTGTACGCTTATTTTTTAATAGTATTCAATTTCACTAATTTTGTAATATAATTCTCGTCTCTTGCAGCGGATCTTCATATGAAGGACATTGGCAAAATGGAAAAAGACATGGCCTTGGTGTGGAAATTAGAGGTAGATGGATATACAGAGGTGAATGGACACAAGGCTTTAAAGGCAGATATGGTGTGAGGCAAAGTGTATCGTCTACGGCTAGATATGAAGGTACATGGGCTAACGGGCTTCAAGATGGATACGGATCCGAAACATACGCCGATGGAGGTTAGTAAGAACATTATTCGAAGTATTGAGTTTTACTATCCATGCATGTTTTATCAGGAAGCTATCAAGGCCAATGGCTACGTGGAATGCGCCATGGATACGGTGTGCGAACATCGGCACCATTTGGAATGGCTGCACGATTTCGTACCAAATCCATACGGGCTTCGATGACCTCGCTACGAAGTAATGAAGGCGGTAACAATCAAGCACCTACTCCAGACCCTGCGGAAAAACGCAGTCATAGAATAGATGACGCACGGGGTGGATTCGTGTTGAAAGCCAAATCAGACGAACCACCAGCAAGACGAAATAGCTTAGTGGAAAAAACGAAAAAAGGATTATTATCGGTTAGTATAAAAATCAGTAGAGTAATGCGAGCTAGGAGTAAGGTTCGAGTGCAAAATGAATTCAGTAGCAAAGCACTTTTGGAATTGATTTAGTTTTTCAACGATAACTTTCAGTTTCTCTGGGCACATTTCAGTGGGCATCGTTGGACCTCTGATATTCGCCATGCGTTGCCTCAGGGCTGGCATCAGCATCTTGACACATCTATTTGAATCACTTTGACTTGCTCTGCTTAACCTTTCGTTTGAGTGCGGCCCTGCCGCTCGGAACACTCCTCTACGTTCCCTTCTGTCTGGTTCTGTTCTTGCTCTCTGAACGTGTCTTTGGCCGATGCCATATCGGATCCTCTGATGGTCGTTACACACTCTCCAATTAATGTTTCCCACCAGTGACGGACTGCAGAAAGTGACGTTGGCAATGGATTACCAGCCATTTCTGTGAAAAGTGCTGCTGGTGCCTTCGTTTGGTCAGCCTAACTTACAGTTTGCCAGAGCTTCCAGCAGCCTGTGCCATCTTGCGTTGGTATATCTGCTCCTCTACTCCACTGCCCAAGCATTGAAGTCTCCTCCAATGACTACTGGTCTTCGTTTGATCAGTTCTACGGTAAGTCCATCCAGCATTTAGTGGAACTGCTCCATCGTCCATCTAGGGTGTGCATAGCAACTGCATATTAAGATTCCGTTAATTTTGGCGATTTTGAAATCTTCGTATGAGCTCGCAACCACTTCTTGAATGGGGTATCTGCCCATAACTTGTATTGCAGTCATCCCTGCTCTATCCACCATCCAGTTACAGTAAACGGGAGTAACTCTATGTGGTTCCACAATAATTTCAACATCGCAATTTGTTTCCATTGTCGACTGTAACAACAGTTGCTGTGCAATTTTGCAATGATTGAAGTTTTTTTTTGGGCTACCTCCATTACTTCTGGCCTGCTATCGCCTTTTTGTACGCTAGGTAGTCTCCCGTCATATGGTTGTTTTGTCCTCCGTTTTGCAGAGCATGCATCTCGGTTGTTTCGTGCAGCCTCTTACAATGTGACACTTCTCTCCACATTTCTTGCATAGATCAGATTTGTCATGGCGATTACAATTCCTCGCTTGGTGACCGAAACACATGCACTTAAAGCATCTCATCAGTTGCTGAGTAGCCCGAGGGGCAGCCTTCAGCGAGCACTGACAACCAAACTTTGACTCGGCCTGTCTCCAATGGCTGCGGCCGTCAAATGTCGTATCAACGCTGTCTGTGTGCCACCATACACCTTCCTCATCCAGATCGCCATCTGTGAATCTCCCAGATCGCATTGTTCCATCAGTGTACCCCTCAGCTCGTCCACTGTTGTTATCTCATCTAGAGATGATCTAGTATAAGAGAGGAGTGGATTCAACACAAAAGCTGTGGTAACCTATGTCTAGGTGGTTTCTAGAAACATTGACAGTTCGTTTGGCTCAATACCAGGCAGTCCGCTCCTCTCTTATACTAGACCATCTCTAATCTCATCCATCCTCATTTCTGCACTCGATTACCATCTCTTGGGATAGAGCTCTTACGTTCACCTCCCCACCTATTCGATTTAAAGGCTGTACTCTTTACCGTAGGATCTTTCTTCAGCTTGAAGAGCATTTCGTCTTTCTTGATGCGCCTGGTTTTCACCGCGTTCTCCCCTAGCTCCTTCAGTTGCGGATTGGCTCTCACTTTCCGGAGGAGATGTGCGTTCGTCGATCCGCTATTAACCTCGACAATCAGACCATTGTCCTTACTTCGCTCCCAACGAGGCCTGGTTTTCTCCCCTTCTGCTCTTCTTTCTTCTTCACTTCCGTCTTTTACATTTCTCGTTCTGTTTCTCAACGGTGCGCCATCCACTGCCTTCTGCACGCAGAGAAATGATTTTTAAATTCAAATGGACATATTATTGGCTCAGGGCCTAATATATTTGTGGTATTATTGTGGTTAATTCAAAGAAAACTTTTTTTGAATCAACAATCAACAGAGTCAATATTCTGCTTTTTGATTCTTAAAAACCATTTTGTTGATTCAAAAATAAGTTTTGTTGAAATAGTGATACAATATGTTTGAATCAATAACAAAATACGTTAAGCCCTGAAACAAAAATAAATTTTTCTGCGTGTGCTTGCTCCTATGACCTTTCTGGTCTTTCTTGGATTTGTTCTGCTCCTCTTCCTATCCTGGATTACTATGTCCATAGACGTCTCCTGTGCTTCTGCCGTAGCCTTCTCCTTGGCCTTTTCAGCAGTATCTGATACCCGTCACCAGATCATTGATTCTAGTGTCGACGTTGGTCTTATTCTTATTGTATGAGTACTTTCTGCTCTCCTTGGGACATGCTAGTGCTGAGACTCGCTGTGGCCATCAGGTTTGACACTGGTGATCTCTGCAACATCCCACTCCTTGCGAACATGTTCGCTCCCTCGTTTTCATTGTCGTCTTTAATTTTTTTTTTCTTTTGACGTAGACTACTGGGGGTAAATTGAAAATCTAATATTGCGACCGACACGAAAAGGTGTAATTTTTTGAACGCTATAAGCTTTGTCATTTATAGATGAAATTAAAATCCGAATACACCAATCGATAGGAAATACCTTTCGTAAGCTGTTTCAATAAACCTTTTGATGTTCAATTTTTCATAAAAAAAAACTGTTTTAAAAATGGACATATAAAAAGTGATAATTTTATCACTGTTTTCATGAAATAAACGTTCTCCCCAAACCCAGTCCTCATAATCAAGTACAATTTGGTTGCACATCGTGATGCTTGAATCAGAAAAGTTATAAAACAGCGCTGCTAATGTGCCTCAACTCATTTTCGCTTCGGCGGGTAAGCAGGTAGCAGCAGCAGTAGCAGCAGTAGCAGTAGCAGCAGTAGCAGTATCAGCAGTAAGAAGGCGGTTTTAGTCAAGCGCGCAGAGTTCGAGTTTTTCACCTCGAACTTTGCCCGTCGTTCCCGTCGAGATCATTGGCTACTGGTAGGGCCTCGCCTCGATGGCGCAAGCACTCCTTGCCTGAATGATAACTACAAATCTCGATTACTTTTCGGAAGGACATATCAGCTTTTGTAAACAACGCATTTTATCGTCGGTTTGGCATAACTAATAGCTCGTCCCACATACTAAAACCGCTAACAGGTTGGAAATTTTTCCCCTATCTGATGGTAGTACTAGCATGCGTGGGCGAGCTACCAGTTACGCCAAATCGACAATCAAATGCATTGTTTACAAAAGCTGATGCGTTCCTTCGAAAAAGTAATCGAGAAATAGTTCTTTGGCTGTGTACCAATTGTCGAGTTAAATTTAACTCGTGGTTAAACGTGACATTTCGTAAGTTATTTTCAATGTTCTAAAATGCCGAAAATTGATCAGTTTTCAAACAGAACTCAGCCACGGTTACCAAAACTTAACTTCTAGTCGGTCCGAAATAACCACGCTCGTATAGCAGGGTTATTCGATAACTCATCTGTCACTTTTAACCAATTTTTGAATTTTTAAATTCAATTCACCCATTGCGACACAGCCTTGAAAGTAAAATTAGGGCCATCCATAAATTACGTATATTTTTCACCAATTAACCCCCCTTCTCCCTCGGAGCGTGTTTTGCAATACACCTAATACATGGCCGGTCCCAACTTCTGAAACCCCTCTCCTCCCTCAACTACTACGTTTTTTATGAATGTTCCCTAATCATTGGGCAACACTGAAAGACAGCAGCACCCACCGCACAAAATGGGTTGGACATTTATGCGAAATTTCGGTATTGATAGTCAATATTTCGCGATCAGAACATTTTAGCAGGAAATTCCTCCATTTAATTCTCGGTACATCTTTAACCTATTGATTAAATTAAAAAAAATCCTAATATGGTTTTTTAAGATTTCGTGCGTTTTTTAAGATTTTGTGCGTTTTTGAACGCACATTCATTTTTGGTGTTTCTGTGGTGATAAAAAGGATAAATGTGATAAATTATCAAACAGTACCTCTATTTAAGCTTTTAGATTAGCTATGAAAGTCCCTCCTACACAGCTAAAAAAAAGTAGTGTATATTTCCGTTACTATGATGCACATAAATGGAGCGTCTTAAATCATACAAATTTACATTATAAATCGTGTAAATTTATGAGACATGTCATGCAATATTCCATAAATTGTATGCAACTCTCAGCCTTTGTTTGCAACATTTCTTGCAAGCTGCTAGTTTACGTGAAAAGGAAGTTTACATGCATGAATGTTTGCATGCATGGATGTTTACATCACCAGTAAAATTCAGATTTTTTTAGTGTGTACTTGAAAAATTATGCTATAGAACGGTTTATACAACTCCAGTTTTTTTTGCTTAATTCTTCAAGTAGGAGGGACTTGCAATGCTTATCTCTTAGCATAAATAGAGGTACCGTCGAGTTTATTTTCACCATTCCCTGCTTTCCCGTTAAGTAGTTCAGTTCGGTTTGACCTCAATCTCTTGAGTTGTTCGGAAAGTTTTTCGAGTTAGTGTTCGCGCTCTTTCTTTCGTGGTTTGTCGTGCGTGCGTGTGTGTGTGCCCCGAAATGGGGAAGCATCGCTCGCGAAGCCCGGCGAAGGACCAGAACCCCGGTGAAGGAAGCTCCGGTGTGCCTACATCGAACAGATTTGCTGTTCTTTCCATCGATGGGCATACCCAGCCAGCTATAACAGGAAAGCGTAGCAAAAAGAGGAAGAAGAATCGGGGCCAGTCCGATTGCTCGATTTCTTGCGACGATGCCACTGCGATGAACGGCAGTCATGTCGGAGATTTCGGTGACATTGCCGATACAAGCACGGTAAAAGTAAAGCTACCTCCGTTGGTAGTAAAAAATGCCCATCTTAACGATCTCATCTCAGATCTGGCCTCGCTGGGCGTTAAAGCCGAATTCAAGTTGGGCAGAGTCGGCACCAAGGTGATGCTCCGTACGAAAGCGGAGGACTTCCAATGTGGAATTCTTCAACCACGACATTCCCGGTGAGAAACCATTCAAG